CAGCTGTCAAATCGTAGTTATCGATATCGATAGTAATCATGCAGCTAAAAAACACCCGATATAACAACAAATATTTTTTTATATTATTTTAATTAATGAACCAAATTAAGTAATTCAATTAAATAATAAATAATATAAAAAAGATTTTCGTTACTGCAGTTCACTACTATTCGAAACCTCTCTATATTTTTTTTTATTTATTTTATTTTTTTATTTTCCTTTATTTTTCTTGTTCTTTTATTAAATTTCTTGTATTATTATTACTTTTTTCTCATTTTATTTTTATTTCTTTTTTTCATTTTATTTTTACTGTCATATATAATATTTAATTTTAAAGTTCTGAGATCCCAAATTACCAGCAGTTATGGTTATATTATATTTCATATATTATGTTTCATATAATAAGTTGAAAATTTTAAAAATTAAGAAATTTTAGGTGAAAGTTTATTAAATTTTTTCGTATTTCTTACAAATTTCCTGATTTCAGTTCAGAGCTCCCGATGTCAACATCAGGAAGCGTAGGATTTTAAAAATTTAAGTTGCTTTTTGGCTACTTTAAGTCTTTACGCCACACAAAATTTAAACGATATTAAGTGAACGAAAGTAAAATTACAGACGCTAATCGAATTAGTTACATTACAGTGATTACCAGTTTAATTACAAGCAAAACCGTAATCTCGCCCAGAAATGCAAATTTTTATGGAACTCGATTCCAAAGTTCACCACAAGGAGCGAACACCAAAAAAAACAAATAAAATTGCGACAAAATTTCTGCTAAGGATTTGGTTGTGCTTTTTTAATTTTTTGACATTTTACCTTAGATACTATATAAAAACGGAATAGATTTTCGCATTATTTGATTAAAATAATACCTTTTTAACTAATAATATAATTATAGTGAAAAGCCTTTGACACTCTGCGATCTATAAATCTATTATGCTACGAAATAAAGTAAATAATAATTTTTAAATTTTACGGAGAAGTATTCCTCTAACTTAATCATACGACTTAAAGTCAACGTGGGCCAGGAACGCCCATTCATAAATTATCAAAATAGCTTGGTTTGACGTTAAATTATATATTATATTATACACATCAAAATCAAAAGAAAGGAATAAGATGGTAATCATCCTCATCTCAACATAACATGCTATTCGTCTATAAATTACTAACTAAATTCCTTCTGGAGATGCACTATTTAAACTGCTTAAAATATTACACAACGATATTAATATAAATTACTTTAGTAAAGATGCATAGATATACATAGGGACCTCAAGACTCAAAAGCCAACAAAACTGGATTTCTTTAATGTACACCAGAGGTGGGCACATATATCTAACAAGAAAACAAAACAATACTATCAAAAATGAATACAAAATCAAGTCTTTATAATTAAATTCAGTATTTGATTACAATAAATAAGTTTAATAGAAAATTATTTGTGTTATATATTAGTACTTGTCGATGAGCATTGACGTTAGCACAATGCATCATAGCTTACATACACATAATGACAAAAATGTTTATGTTGATACTCATAATAGTATCAGATCAAGGTACTATGTAAAGATAAAAAACAAATGGCTGTGAGTAAGCGGTGGAGCGAGGATTAGTTTGATCAATTCCTTTTCCAAAACATCTATCCATAAGATGCACCTCAGTCAAGTCGGCTAGTTAAAAACTGGCCTGTTAAATCTTGCAATTAATGTATATTAAATTAAGTATGTAATATTTTCGCACTTTAATAAAACTCTAAATCACGGACCTCATACAAACCTCTGCAGATACGAGTATTAATGTCAATATTATTTAATGTGAACTTTTAGATTTTTTATATCGAATAATTGTACTCTTTAGCGCAAAAATTCATTTAAAATCTCATTCTCGTAATGTGATTTGAGAAAAGTTTACAGTTTTTATACTAAATCTCAAATTCTGAACTATCCCGACCAATTAACCACTTACCTACCCACCAGTGTCGATTCTATCCCTCAATAAAAAAACTAAGCGAAAAACTCTTTTTTTAATTGCGCTAGCATTCGATATAAAAACAATAAATTAAATTATAGCTAAAAAGCGAAATGAAATTAAATGAAATTGAATGAAATTAAATGAAATTAAACGAAATTAAACGAAATTCAATGAATTAAATTTAAAATTTCATACATAAACAAAATTTAAACATATGCACTCAGCATAAGTGCCGCCCAATGGCTTACGCGCCTGCGATGGACTTTCGAAAAAAGTGGCAGTTATGGCGAAGTTATGCTAAAAAACATAAATTAAATAAATAAATTAAATTGCGCTTTTCATTAATAATTAATTATGATTGTAGTTTTGCGCTTACAGGAGTTACGTGCATAAATTGTTCATTTGCTGATAGAGAAGACGTAATTATCTTTGATCATTTATTGACGCATAAACAGCCTGTTTTTTATGCAGGATAATAGTTCGGACGGCATTCGCATGGGAATCGGCCAGCTGCATTCATTTATTTGCTAGATTAACAGATTTTTATTTGCAATCATAAAGAGTTCATTATTAAAAATTCATTGCATAAACTTAGTACTACATCTTCAATATTTAAACGAATAAAAATTATACTGCAATGGCGTGAGAATGATATCGTACTATTATAATTAAGAGAATAAACTCCATTAGGTAATTAAATATTGATTGTGTCATTATCTGATAACATCAGGCTGCTTCAATTATGTGAACTGGAACATTTGATGTGAACTGCGATTCACAACTCATGCCACTCTCACCTATATATGACAATTTTCATAAAATATATAATTAGTTGGATACTCGCCGAAAAAAAATTTCTGGAATATTGCATTACTTTTAGCCTTAGCCTACAATGAGCCATTATTTGAGCTTAATTCGGCTTTGGACACAAGACCGCCACTCCAACCTAACATGCATTACTTAATAGTCTCTTCCAGATTCCAGTTGGAACCAACTCCGTAACGACTCGTAGAGTAGCGACATCTCTGAGTATGTGATTATAGAATACTATATATATCTACTTACTGTCAACATTTAAAAGAATTCGCTAAGAATTCACCATGACTTTACATTGTATAGACTATAACGCCACTTTGTGGGCACTGGTCTTAAAGAAAATCACATGAAACAGAGAGCAAATATTGAAATCCATTTAAAATTAACTGAAAGTGGTAAAGAAATGTACAAAGTTCTAAAATATGTGGTTGGAAATAAATGCATATCACGGCCATAAATATTCCATTGGTTTTACTTTGATGGAAATAAGGATATTGAACGCAAAGTCTTGCCCTTAAAAACCATTTAGGGACTGTTATATATCTGCAAGACACACAGAATAGAAAGTTGGAATGTATAGCCTATTGAATTTTAAGCAAAGTTTTGAGCAAAGAGTTCAGTATTGCAAAGATATGTTATATATGTAAAAAAAATCCCGAACAAAAATTCATAAAGCAAGTGACTCATGGTAACATGTAAAGAAATACGGAGCTTTCAACATGGACTTATATAATACAATTTTAGCAAAAAACTAAAATTAATTTATAAATATACCCAATAAGTTAATTAAAAAATTTTATTTGTAAAATTTTTTCAATTAACTTTAAAATAAAATATTTGTAGTATTTGTTTAACCGCAACTCTGGCGGATAATTTGTAAATCTTATAACTATTACTAATTCTTAACTTTCTAAATTATTTAAATCAATTAATGCTATTGAATTTATTGAATTAATTTTTTAAATTATTAAATAGTCACACAAAAATGAACATATGAAATTATTTTAAACAATTTAATAAACTTAAATAAACCTTTATAAAAATTTATTCTAAATAAAGAAAAATTAAAAAATTATTTGTATAATTTTAATAAATAATAATATGTGGTAAAAATTATATATTTGAACAGTCAACAGACTTATCTACTAGATCAATATGGCAACGCTGTTACCATAGGTTATAGGACATATTACGTTAGTTACTATATTTTATTAATTGTATATATAATAATTATAATAGTATATAGATGTTGTTGTTGTGGTTTGAGTTAGTGCTATTGCGCACTTTCACTCTTTTACGGTTGGGTGGCTTATCCCTGCCCCACACTAAGTTTTAACTATACTAGAATTATTGTCATTTATTTATCTTTTAACTGATGACGGACCATTATATCATAATATCTTCCTATGTGTCCTGAGATGGATTTAAGGGTTGTTATGGCGGAGTTGGGCATCGTATTGACTTTTGTGAATATTTTTAGGGCTCTGTCATTGATATATTTTTTCACTGAGTCGATCCTTAGATCTCTATGCATATTTGTTGTCCTAATGTACCAAGGAATCCTAATTAGTCTTCTTAAAACCAGATTTTCTGCTATCTGTAATTGCTTTATGGCATTATTCGAGGATTTGCTGTATGTTGCACATCCGTAGTGTATAGTAACATATATAATAATATATCATAATATTTATGTATTATTAATTTGATGACAATTATTGAAAGTTAGATATATTAGTTGGCCACGACTTTTTGGTTTATTTATTTTATATAAATTAATAAAATTGAACTAAATTTCAGAATCTTTCAATTTTTATTCTATAATCTTCAAAAATCACTTGGATTCAAATTTCTTTAGTGGAACAAAACTTCTTTAAATTACGTTTTGGGTACATTGATAACAGACTACCTTAATTTACTTTGGTGTATAAGTGAAATAAATTTGTTGGATAACCATCTTCATTTTCAGGTAAATTAAATATAATAATTTTGTATTTGCAGAAAGCTGAGCACTGTGTTCTGAAATAATACGCTGAGCTCGGATTTAGCTGAGCACGGATTACAGTAATTAACATCGGGGTTCTACTATTTAAAAGTTGTCCAAAAGAGGAGAAGGAGTTTCAGTAAGGGGTAAGTATTAGGTAATATTTTAAACAAACTTTCATATTCCTGAAGATATATTTTAAATATAAAAGGCATTGACTATAGCCTTTTTCTTAATTCCATATTAAATTCCAGTCAAATTTTCCGCTTTTCCTGTCTAGATTAGCACTTTTCTGTTTATTCATTTTTAAGAAAAATAATTATATAAAACGTATACTGTTCAACAAAAGGATTCGCCCTAGGACAGTATCCATTTTCTCTATCCATTTGATGAGCGTGTTATATATGTATAATTTCTGTGTGTGGTTTCAGTCTGGCTTTAGTCCTTTCATGCTAAATACTGTTCATAGTCTACTTTTATACTACTTATATGAGTTACCATTTATTACTATATAACGACTTAATTAAACTTGAAATCTTCAGAATTCACTTTTAATGTGATAAAAAATATATTCGACAGTTATCATTTAATTTTGAGCTACCAGACATAAACACTTTTCAAAAATCTAATATGCAGACTTTGTTTTCAGTACTTCATCATCGAATAAGTTCCAAAAAATCCTAAGATCACTAAATTACGGCAAACTACACCTAACATCAACTCATTAGTTCCCTTAGATACTGCCTGAAGTTCAGGCCCTGAACAGATAACACCATTACTTGTTGTAAGAGAATTTATAAGATTTCACTCCTCTTCTTTATTTACCTCTCTTTGTGGCATTTATTTGTGTCAAAGTAAATAAAATTGACATTTTGCATACTATATAAGCATTATGTGTGATTTCCTTTTCAAATGAAAGTGTGGCAATATTTTGACCCGGTTCCCTCACACTCACTCTAGTCGTGAAGTATCTATTCTTCTGTATTTTGTATTAGTAAATCGGTTTCACGCACTCACAACTATCTCTCTTGCATAAACGTATTATGCAACTTCTTCTGGAGAATACATTGATATCTGCATTATAATGATATAATACACTATAAATAATAAAAAAAATGACCAAAGTATCAAACAGACTTAGCCACGCAAGTAATGTGGCAACGCTGTTAATATATATTATAGAACAAATGACGTTAGTTATTATATTTTTT